CCGCCTATTTTCCCAACAAAAACGCCTTAGCAGTAACTCCGATTCTCTTTTTCCTGCATTCATGGTACATGCCATGCTGAGGAATGGTCTCAGGTCAGGCTTCTAAACGTTGAAAGAGGGATACCCAGCCTGTTCTGGGAAGGCTCATGCATGGCAAATGTTGGCTGCCACGCCACAAAGCCAAGGTGCAATCATGTAAGCTCAACTGACCAGACCCAGCAAAGTAGTGTTAAGGCTTGTGAACTGCCTTGGAAGAAACACGTAACAACTTCTTCAGGCTTTTTTTCTAAGTTTCAATCCTGCCACACTCCCGAGGGACACCTACTTTCCTGGCTCTTACAACTCTTAATAAAGGTAATAAAAAGGTTTCTGAGTTGCCAATCTGCCCAACAGCATGGCATTTCTCGCTTGATGAAAGGACAAGCTGCAAACTAACCCTGGAAATTTTCTTTTTCGAGACAGTGAGAAAACTAAGCTAATCAGTAAAGCAGGACTGAAAGCATTCCCTACGCTGGCTCTCCTGTGACAACCCTTAACAGCAACCCTTAACATGAGCAAAGATTCCTTCGATATAATCATTACTATACACTTACGGGCGATGGCGCATCTTCTAAGAGGTGCTGAGTGGGTGATGCGTGCTGTGGATGGAGAGGATGGAGCGCCAACTCTCTAAATGCAAGTCACCGGGAAAAAGAGGCCGCCCATGTCAACCCCCCGCACCAGCGTTAATTCAAACGTCCAGAATGTGAAACCATTCTGGAACCAACAAGGGTTCTGTTTCCAGAGCCAGCAAGTACCCTAGGACAGAGAAGAGAAGGCGTTTACACACCCTGGGCAAAAGAACCTACTGAGAAAAAGAAGAATCACAGCAAAGGGACTCTGAGCCGCCTCCACCGAAAAGCAAAGACGGCGAGGTAGAGACACCCCAAGGTGAAGTGACTCAGTATCCTCGAAACAGTGGACGCCAGCGCGCGATCCTCGCCCTCTCCTCCCAGGGTAGGGGGTCAGGGGAAGCTGGGGACGAGCTGGCGACAAGGGAGCGTGGGCTCGAAGCTGGAGGAGAGTCGCCCGCTCCCGCTGAGGTCTCCTCCGCGCAGAGCAGGGCGTGTGCGGCGGCCACCGGCCCGGACGGCCCAGACCCTTTCGGCTGCCCCGCGCGGCTCTCACCTTGTCTGAGTCCGGGTCAGGTTGGCCTGGCACAAGCGGTACAGGAAGGATTTCGGGTCCGGCACAGCGTCTGCCGAGTAGTGAAGTAGGGGCCACTGACGTTGAATCGGACCCCGTTGGACCCCGTTGGACACGCTCCGGGTCGCTGTGCCAGGGCGTGAGCCCCGCCTTTAAGGGCGGCACAGGCAGCCACCTCAGCCCCGCCCGGAGGTCGTCCCGGGCCGGTGGGAGGAACTCTGCAGGAGCTGGCAGTGATTCTCCGCCACGATTCCAATAAGCCCCGCCACAGCTGCGCTACACCGGAAGGTCCGGCTTTTAACAGCCTCCTCTGCGTTCTCTCCCGCCCACAGGTCCGCCCTTATAGAACGCCCGCCGCAGCGTCACGTGGCAGGCAGAAGTTCCCACCCGGAAAAGCAGCAGGCTGGGCCCGCTTCCGGCGGGAGTGGAAGCGGGTTTGGGGCGCCAACGCTAGAGGGCACTGGCAGCAAACCGCCCCCAACCGCGCCCCCACTCCGTGAGGGGGTCAAAGGAAGAGCCACGCCAGCAAATCTCTACACTCTACATGCTTTTTATTACAAGACTACTGAGCATACGAGGAAAATTCATCATCTGGTAACTACACCTAAAGCACATATATTTGGGGAAAAAAAAGAGATTCATTAAATTATATGATTAAATCACTGACCCAATAGAAAATTTATATAATAAAGCCAGAAAAAAAAGTTGTAAAATATAGTTTACAATAATTATTCACATTCAAGGCTGTACATCAATACATACAACAACGTGGCCCCGAACATGAATTCAATCCAAATAATTCATATATTAGAATTTAAATAACACAGACTGAACTAGAGGCCAACAATAGCCAGCAAATAACCTTATATAAGAATAAAAATACAAAAGTGTATATCCTAATATCATTGCATTGTTTTCATAAGTCTCTTAATTTTTGCTTTGCCTGTACATCACAGTTACAGCTACAGACCAGGTAGAGATTACGCATGTTCTGACTGCCACCCGCCTGAAAGACGTACTCGTCATTTCTCCTATTTTATGTTGTGAAGGAACAGCTACAGCAGCTCTAAATACTGTAACAATTAAATTTTGCCAACGTCCAACGTACAGTCCTAGTAGAGGCTTTTACCAGCACAATGACCCCTATTTGTAGTCATTCTGCCAGATGGTTAGGCTACGTGGGTTACACGGCTAAAAAAAGGTCTGCCTTTTGTAAAAAGTTCCCTGTACATAGTTTGGTGTTTCTTCATATTGAAGAAATGAGTTATGGGGAAAATTCAGGTACACACATAGGCTCCTTCAGTTGTGCTCACCACAGCCATAGCAACAGATCAAAGTGCTCTTTGTTGGAAACAGCTTCCTCCTCACATCAGTTCTCCACAGGCAGCCTCATCTACAACCCTGCAATTTTGGGCCAGAAGTGGTGGCCCCTCAGAGGCTCTGAAGTGCCTCCAGCCCCAATTCAGGCACTTGCCACGTGTGCTGCGTAAGAAGGGACCCCACCCAGTGAGTCAACATAGGTTCATGTCAGGTTTGAGTTTGAAAATAACTGGGGAAAAGTGTATGACAACATCTTCCAGAACATAGTACCTTCACCGTATTCTCACAGCAGCTGCGCTCTAAAGTCCCAGCAGTGAGCACCCCGGCTCTGTGGACCAGCCAGGCAAGGAAGCCTCAGGCTTCAGAGGAGGGCAAGAAACCAAATTCTGTGCTATTTGGCCATACTCTCTGGTAGAGTGAAGCAGCACTGAACGCGGTGCCTAGAAAATCCTCCTGCATGTTCCCCCGTACAATCAATGGACCCCAACTAAAGTGGAGAAATAAAAATCCAACCAAATTTGGGTGGTCTGGACTTGCCAAGCCAGGCAATCTGCAATACTGTGGGCAGGGAGTGGGGAAGAGACGGCCTGAAATCTACACCAGCTGGGACAACCACGCCCTACAATGAAAAAGCCAGCCTGGCTGCCGGGCTCTTCTGAACCACTAAGGCCTGAAGCAGGGGCAGGAGCGGGGAGACAAATGCACTCGGAAAACCCAATCAGCGACATGGTTTTTTTCAAGTGGAGGCTTTGCTCTGCTACTGATTCCAAATGGCCTAATGTACTTTCTGAGTCTATAAACTTAATTACAAATCATTCACTAAGCATGTGGCAAGGTCAGTTCAACACTTGTTATCTCTGCTGACTGTGCAGATGCAAATTCAGTACCATTGTGGACACAAAGTACAAGGTTCTGAAAATACTGCCAAGCGCTTGAAAGCCACAGCAGCAGGGATGGCAGAGAGCTGACATGCAGGCGGAGCCAGGTTCTTGCAACCAAAACAAGGAAACTGGCTCTTGGAAAAAATCGGCCACAAATGGATTGCAGCAATGACATCCTCTTAGCATTTAAATAAAGAGCGGTCTTATTCAGACATTCTTTGGAACACACACAGTTTATCAGAAACTGATTTGTTCAGAATCTGCAGGACACAACTAAGGTGGTTCTGCTACTGGAACTCTGAGCATCTAAACATAAGGTTGAGAGAGAGACAGAAAAATATAATTAAAATGAACAAACTTTTTGACCTCAAAATACTACTTTTAGGCATCTAAGGGGGGAAAAAGAAAGAAATCAGATGATTTTAAGGATATTCATCACAGTATTATTTAAATAGTGGAAAAATCAGAAACCGTCTAAATATTTTACAGTAGGGAAATGGTCAGATAAATTATAGTAAATGGACAACTAAACACTACAATTGTTAAAAACGTGTTTCTGAGAAACTCATGACATGGGAAAATGCTTAGAATATCAAGTGAGAAGACGATGCAAACAGCGTGTGTCGGATGTTCCCAATTTAGTTGAAAAAGTGAACAAATGGTGGGGCAGGATGTAGGCCAAAATGCTCACAGTGGTCTTCTCTGGGCGGCGAGCCTACAGCTGATCTTGTCAGAGACAAATGTCAGTTCTGAGTCACCCAGAGCCCTGTGCTGGTGCCTGGGGGTCTGTGCCATGGGACAGTCTCCACAGTTCCTCTGGGGAAGGGCCGCAAATCCCACAGTGTGTCCCAAGAGGGCTGGAGTAGGCGGAGTCCCCAGCGGCTGTGGCATGACCAGCCATCTCTCCCAAAACGAATTGTTAACAAGCCTTCCGCAAGTTAAGGTTCCACGTGGTAGCCGTGGTGCAGAGCCATTTCACTACGGTGGAGAGGCTTGTGCTCCACACCAGGACGGCCCACCGCCCTGGCTGCGGCCAAAGAGGGGAGAAAAGAATCCCTCAGAAGCCAGCCCCCAGCTGTGTCCCAGAGAAAGGCAAGGCACCTGGGGCACCTAGGCCGGCAGCGACCACAGCCTCCCTCCCTTTTGTGCCGAGAAGCCACAGAGTGTGGTCCTGACATTCCACCTGTCCTTGCCCACGTGTGGGGAGGCACATGGCCCCAGGTCTATTAAACAGCAGGTGAAATCTTCCTCACCTTGGATAAACCCACAACTGTAATTCCATGTAAGCACGTCTATGTGGACACACGGTACCCCACGTTCCACCGTAGAGTGTAAGGCACCTGCATGCCAGGTGATGGCTCTAAGGATGTGCTGGATAAAACTGGAGTTGACATGAGCAAGCGCAGGGTAAAGAAAGCAAACCCACGAGCCTTTAAAAAGGTAAGAGAAAGGGGCTGGGTGAGGAGAAAGGTGACCCACAGAAGGGTTTGGCTGTCATGAGCTCAGGCAATGGCATCATCAGCTGTCAGCTGCCAGCTCTGGCTCTGAGCCCCTAGTTCTGTGGCTTTGGAGGTTAAGATGGAGCTTGTCAGTGGCGCCCAGGAGGTGGTGGTTCCATCCAGAGGAAGAACACACGGAAGAGTCTCCCCAAGCAGCCCAGCCGAGTGCTCCAATTAAAGCCACATCCCTGCTCCCCTTGTTTCCCTATAACCAGACGCCCTGAGACGTCTTTCCTGTGCCTGTACGTGCAGTTAGGAGGGTTAGGAAGCCACTGTCCTACACGGAGACACAGGACGTTCTGAGATGGATAAAAGAGCTGATAAAGAGGAGTAAGCCTGAACAGAAATTCCTGAAAGGACCAAGAGAGACTCCCCAACACAGCCAAGCCTTTCCAAAAGCCAGCAGGAGGAAAGAGGACTTGACTCCGGCCACAGGCCCAGGGCAACGTGCTGGGCCCCGGAGCGTCCTGCTCCCTGGGACACCCCAGGGTAGGTGTGGCCCAGCTCGCCCCAGCTCACGGTGACAGGCTCATGTGCAGCTCACACACAGCAGCAGCCAAGGCCCAGGCAGAAACCGCAGGCAGGGCCTGGGGAACATTTCTGCCCCGTCCAGCTCCCATCTGCACTTGCCTAGCTAAAAAGAGCCACTCTCATCATTAGTGTGAAAAGGACACCTTCCCTCTCAGTTTGGACCTGGCCGGGCACACAGGGTCACTGCTGAGTCATCTGTGATTTTGGGGGTAGGGAGCAGGGAGGGTGGACACAGTTGAGTCAGAGGCAGGTCTGTGGGCAGCGATGTCTGCCTGTCCCCCACGGGACTGAGGGCTGCCCTCCAGGGACAACCTGGGCAGGGAGAGGAGGACCCGGACCTGCCAGGCCAGCAGAAGCAGTGTCTGCCTGGGGAGTAGCTAGGCAAAGGACAAATGCATCTGGCCTATCTGTGCTGTACAGCAGGGAAGGCCACCAAAGCATCAAAGGGAAACAGCCCCAAAACCGGCAGAGGAAAGTAGACCAGCAAGCTGGGGTTGAAGTGTCCTGTTCTCGCCTCCTGTGCAACAGCAACTGGCAAAGTCCACTGTTTATGGGGCCAGATGAGCAGGCAGCATAAGGCTGTGAGATTTTTGATGCAGACATGTAGAAACTGAGTGGGCTCTGAGAAGTTTTAGCCACAGCACAAAAGGGGTGTGTGTGATGGTGGTGCCTGCACTCCCTGGTGTGGTCTGCAGGAGACAGAATCACCCTGGGTCTGCTGAGGCCAGGGTTCTCTCAGACCCTACTTCACCGACTGGGGAGGCCTGGACATTTAAACCGTTTAGTAGGTCCTCAGGCCTCTCTCCTCCAGACACAGGTCAGCAGGCCCTCTCTGCTCTGGCTGGATTCTCCAAGGCACCTCCTGGCCCCACCCAGGGCTTGGGGCAGGCCTATCTCATGCAGTGAGCTGGCTGGGTACTAATTGGGCTCACCTCTGACAGTACCGCTCCCAGCATGCGCTCGGCTTCCAGCCCCAGAGACCAACACTGCTAAGTAGGACAAGGGATCCGGAGCCCTCGATGGCACCCTCCACTCGGCAGCCTGCTCCCACACCACTCCAACCCCTCCCGCTCCTCACCACGCGAGTCTGCCTGCCGACATGGCAGGGGCCACAGAAAGCCTGCCACCAGAGCCACCACAGGGATACGCAATGGGCCCAGCCAGGCCTAAGGGCCATACACAGGGAGATGCAAGAAAGGGAGCACATGACAGAAGCACAGAGGCTCCCTCCACAGAGAGGTGCGGCCCCCTGGCAGGGCCGCAGAGGCTCCCTCCCTGGTGAAGAGTTCCAGGACCACAGTGGCGGGGGCAGAAAGAGCCAAACACACCCGGTCCCCTTGGCCACAGCAGGACCAGCACACAGTTGGGGCAGGGTGAGCGCATGGTTCGGACTGATGCTAGGAGAAGCTGGTGACACCAGGTCTGTCCACTAGTTGGGTGGGACTGGGCTGACGTGCACGGAGCTGGGTCCCCATGGCAACGAGGGCACATGGAGGCCTCCACAGAGCACAGAGAGCAAGCAAAGCGACCCTGAATTCCTTTGTGTTTGTTACTGGTTTTGTTCTTTGTGTGGTTGGGTGTGTTTTTTCTTCTTTTCTTTTAAATAAAAATGCTACAAGGTTTCCGCCTCTGCGTTCCCCTTGTGATGGCTGGCAGGTGGTCTGGAAGCGTCCCGGATGGCGGCCAAGCCGCGCTGGGGCAGGTGTCCTGGCAGCGAAGGCAGCCCGGCCGCAGGCCACGTCACTGCACAGCGGCATCTGGGTGGCTCTGGTATCGCTGCCTCCAAACCTCCTGGATCTTCCTGCACCACTTGTGTGCGTTCCCGCTGGGGTCCATCAGATAATACGTCCTGTTAGGCTGCCAAGACAGAAGCCATTTAGTGTTCCCGAAGGAGTCCCACCAAAACCCCCACCCCAACCTGGTGCGTTGCCCGCTACCAGCCATTCCGAGTCCTGGAAGCACGTGGGTGTGGTGGTTCTTCACACAAGCAGAAAGCAAACATGCAGGCTGATGACCACACCCCAGTCACCACCACACTGAAACCAAGCACGGGCGTCCCCTGCCCCTCAGGACTGAGCCGCTAGTGTGGGCATCTGGGATGTCGGAAAGGGCAAGGCAGCTGCCCCATCCTCGCTGCTCCCTCTGGCCAAGGCCTGCGGCTGCTTCCCACGTGCTACAAAGCCCTCCCGTCACCCTGCACACAGGAATCCCTGGGAACAGACTCACCGTGTGCACAAAGAACGTTTTAAAATTCTTGGCCTCTGGTCGAAGTTCTTGTGACCAAGGAATTTCACCTTTCAGGACTTTGTTGACAGGATCCACGTAATATAAATGTGGTCCTTCTGTGAGCAACAACTGTCGTCGTCGTGCGAATAAACCCTGACACCAAAACACACAAAACAGGCCTCAGAGGCCAGTGCTGGCAGCATCTCCTGGAGCCTAGAGGGCTGGGCAGCCCCTCGGAGCTGTTCGGAGCACAGGGCCACCGCCACCACCTGTGCACTCACCGAGGGGCAGGGTACTTCCTGCCCCACCAGGCCCAGTTTCTAAGGTCACAGGGGCTGCAGCTCAGGCCCATCCAGGTCAGGCCCATGGCTCCCCTGGCCCCTCTGCTCTGCCTGGGACAGGAGCCTGCTCTCGGGAACTGGCCTCCACACACCCGCACCAAGGTCCTTGCCTGCGGAGGACACACGGCTAGGAAGAGAGGCGAGGAGCCTGCGCTTGGAAGTGGCCCCATGTGAGCACCTGGAGTTGAGTATTTTCTAACCAAGCGTTAAAGCTAACAGTTACTGGTTAGTGTTCTGTCTGATCATACTGAAATGCCTGATCTGACGTTCTACTATAGAAGTAATATGATTTATATTTGAAGAAGGTACAAGATGACCAAATAAATATCTGAGCACATCCACACTCCTGCCTGGCTTCACGCAGACCATGTGCTAAGTGCTGGATCCCTTCAATCCCTAAAATAAAGAATAACCCTTAAATGGTTTTGAAACACTTCTAAAGCAATGTGAGAACACTGGCTAAGATATCAGACGTGACCTCTTCAGCTTGATGGAAACCTCACAACGGGCAGCCCCAGGCTCCCAGGAGTGTGCCGAGGATGCTTGTGTTCGGCCCTAACCACCACGTGTGTGGCTCCACACGGCTTCTCGAGGGGCTCACAGCCTTCCCGAGCTATGAAATCTAGAGATGATGTTTGATGCAAATCAAGAGAGGGAAGGATTCCACACCACCAAGCTGCCCTCCCTTGAGCTGGAGTCGGGGAAGATGCAGGCGTGCATGCAGAGCATCGGGACCACTGACCACTCACCTTCCGCTTATCCACCGGGCCCATCTTTAGTATTAAATTATTTTCTACAAACTGGTGCCTGTGGAAAGAAACAAGAAAGAGATGCTCCCGTGAAAATCACAAACAGAAATTCTCCACGCTCCTCCTGCCACATGAACTCCTCGTGGCCTTGGCCTTCTCCTCACAGAGCCAGCCTCACTTCGGGATGAGCAGAGACCACCACACGTAACCCAGCACACACGCCACTGCCATGCAG